TCAGTGTCGAATCCGCCGCCTCCCCTGTCAATCCCCCGCACCACCGCCGCCACCGCCTCGCGCGTTTAGCGGGGGGTCAAAATTTAAAAGGAGGACAGCCTATAAAGAAAAGAAGCAACTGCCACCTTATCAACCACAACGCAAAAGGCCCGCGCGTGCTGCGCGGGCCCGGCGAGCGACTAGCGAGCCAGCCTGATAAAAAGAGAAAAATATGTCGGCCCGCCGTTTTTGGTGAAAAGCAGCTCGCCTTCAGTTGTCCGGACCGGCCTCTCACTGCCGGACGACGCCGCCGTGCGTCCGCCGTGGGTCCAGAGCAGTGGGCGATCGTACCTGCGCCAGCTCCACCTTCGACCCATGCGCAGCCTCTCGCCGCTCGTAGTCCTCATCGCGCTCCTCGCACGCGCAACAGCACAGACCTGCGGCAACATCGAGGCGACCACGCAGCACAATTTTACCACACCAGACGGTCGGGGTCGCTCCTACGTCAAGTACAAGCCATTGGGCATTGCGACCGCCTCCAATTATCCGCTCGTCGTTGAGCTGCACGGCCTGGGCGCATGCGCCAGCGACCTGTACAGCTATAGCGGGTGGACACTCGTGGCCGAGCAGAACAACTTCATCCTCGTGACTCCGCAGGGAGTAGAGAAGAGCTGGAACGCTGGTCGCTGCTGCGGCCAAGCGCGAGCGGCAAAGCTCAATGTCGACGACGTCTCCTTTCTTCGTATGGTCGCTGCAGACGTCCTCGCTGCTGAACCCGGCGTCGACCCGACGCGTGTCTACTTTGCCGGCCATTCGACCGGATGCATGATGGCGCAGCGGATGGCGCTCGAAGCGTCGGACCTTGTGGCGGCCGTTGGGTGCCACGCCGGCATGCTGATGGTGCCTCCCTCGTCTCCGGCGGTCGAGTCCATCACAACGCCGTCAGGCTACAAGCCGGTTCCAGTGATGGAGATCCAAGGGCAGCAGGACAGCGTAGTCTCCTACGACTATGCCACCGTCCTCCGCATCCCGTATTGGCCAGGAGCGCTGCGCAACCTTGGTTGGTGGCGCCAGCTCAACGGTTGCCCCACAGCCTCGCCCACCATCATCTCGTATGGCAGCTACAGCATCCACTTGCACACGGGGTGCGCAGACGGCTCGCAGGCGGCCCTCGTCGACATCCCGACGGCCGGCCACTATTGCTTTGCCTCATTCCCACCCCACGTCAATACAACCCAGCTTGCATGGGATTTCGTCCAGCAGTTCAACCTGCCCCTGCCAAATAGCCCGTCGCCCCTATGGCCCGTGCCTTCATCGCCGTCGCCGTCGCCGTCGCCGTCGCTGCCAGCCCCGGCGCCGAGCCCCGCGTCGCCCGCGTCACCGTCGCTGTTACCGCCGCTGTCGCCGTCGCCGTCGCTGCCAGCCCCG